GGGCCTCAGGCAGTTGGCGGGCCGGCCCCGCCCCCTGGTTGAACTACCTGTCGAACTCCCAGTTGAGGGGACAATTTGCATATTAGCCTTTTATTATATAGAATATTCTCAGTCTGCCTCATTTCTAGTTTTCTTTCTCAGTAAGAAAGAAAAAGGCTTTCTGGTAGAACTCTTAACTCCTCGCCCCATACACAAAACTGTTGGTATTTATTTTTAATCTTTGCCTGTCTGGATGGGCAAAGTGTACCTTTCTCTCTAAGGGTATTCTGCTTCCATCCTTTTTAGCTTCTTTGGTGATTTCAGTATATCAGTAGTGAATTCTTTCTCTTCTGCCTCCTTTCCTGCTATATATGTGTTCAAGTCTCTATCTTAAAAACAAAAACAGTCTTTCTAGATAGTGCCTTGCTTATTGACTCTTCAGGGACAAGTTTCTTGAAAAAATAGTGTATATTGTTTCACTTTTCTCAATATCTGTTTAATTTTTATATGTTGTAATCGATTGACTTTGAGCCAAATAAGTTTGCTGAAACTGCACTGTCCAAGTTACCACTGAGTTAGTGATTGTCAAATGCGGAGGCCCGTTTTCATTTCTTATTCTACTTCATCTCTGGTCATGTATACATTTAATATGGTAGTTGATTTCTCTTCTTGAAATTTGATTAATTTTATTTTTCTTTGACTTTTGTGACATCTCTTGGTTTTCCTCTTCACACTGACCACTTTTCAGTTATCTTTGTAATATCTTTTCTGCCCCCCGCCCCCTTTTTTTGGGGGGGGGGTGTTAATCCTCACTTGAGGTTACTTTTTCCATTGCTTTTCAGAGAGAGTGGAAGGGAGGGAGGGAGAGAGGAGGAGAGAGAGAGAGATAGAGAGAGAGAAACAACATCAATGTGAGAGAGACACATCGACTGGTTGCCTCCCGGACTGGGGAGTGAACCTGCAACATAGGTATGTGCCCTTGATCGGGAATCGAACCCATGATCCTTTGGTGCAGGGGCTGATGCTCTAACTGCTGAGCACACTGGCTAGGGCTTCTCTCTTTGCTCTTTACATGCTATTTTTAGTCCTTTCCTAGCTTTATTCTCCCATGTGATCTCATCTGCCCTATGATTTCAATTAATACTTATACACTGAGGAATTCTAAATATGTCTTGAGGGTATGTGTGCACATGTGTGTATGTGTATGTGTGTGTGTGCACGCACGTGTGTATGTGTGTACACGTGCTCCTTGGTGACCACAGTTCAGGTATGCTAAATTCAATACATCTCAAACATTATCATCTTTTCTAAATCTGTTTTTTCTTTAATATTTTCTATCCTGGCGACATTGATAAGCACAGCCATCAGTAGTCTCTCAAACAAGAAACAAGTTATGAAAGTTATCCTTCTCCCCTTTCTTATCTCTATCACATTACTTGCCATACTCTAATTGTTTGTTGTTGTTTTTGTTAATCCTCACCCGAGGATATTTTTTTTATGGATATTTTTTCCATTGATTTTTTTTAGAGAAAGTGGAAGGGAGGGAGTGGGAGGAAGAGAGAGAGAAACATCAATGTGAGCAAGACCCATGGATTGATTGCAACCCAGGTGTGAGCCCTTCACCAGGAATTAAATTGAACTGAGATCCTTTGGTATGCAGACTGGTGGTCTAACCACTGAACAACCAACCAGGCCTATACTCAAAATGATTGTTTTTTCATCTGTGATTCTCTAGAGCAGGGGTGGGCAAACTTTTTGACTCGAGGGCCACAATGGGTTCTTAAACTGGACCGGAGGGCCGGAACAAAAGCATGGATGGAGTGTTTGTGTGAACTAATATAAATTCAAAGTAAACATCATTACATAAAAGGGTAATGTGGGCCAAATAAACAAGGTTTAAGTTTATGTGGGCTGCAAAAAACTAAAGCTTCAATTTTCATAGAAACGTAGGTTTATTTCGATAGAGACATGCTGAATTCAAAGAGCTGAAATGAGTAATCGTTAACATAAAATAATAGAACACTTTAATAGAAGTTAATATTTTTTTCTTGAACATTAACTTATCGGACACTGAATAACTGCACAAATTAATAAGCGTAACACAAATAAACTTACTTTGTTATCCAAAAGCGAAATATTTCCTGTTGCGCGCACCAAACAAGTCAGTCCAAGACTAATGACGTGGCAGTCGGCTGCTAAAATATTCGCTGCTAGTATTAGTGGAGAGAAATGGTGCGCCTGCGCATAAGGTGCGCAAGGTAAATGAATGCAACACGATTATAATAATCAGTCATTAGTTAACGTTGTAGTTCGTTATTAATAATTACGTATAGCAGGATATTGTAAAAATTAAGTTACAAAATTTTTATTAAAATGTTTCTTACATACTGTTATATTGGCTGGGCCGCAAAAGTATTTGTTGTGGGCCATGAGTTTGACATGCTTGTTCTTCGTGTGTGCCTTGAAAGCTGAAATTGCTGTTTGTCTTATCAAGAATTAGCAAATGATTTTTTTTTAAAGTACTTTTATTTATTTCAGAGAGGAAGGGAGAGGGAGAGATAGAAACATCAATGATGAGAGAGAATCATTGATTGGCTGCCTCCTGTACACCGCCCACTGGGGATCGAGCCCGCAACCCCGGTATGTGCCATTGACCGAAATTGAACTCAGGACCCTTCAGTCCCCAGCCTGATGCTCTATCCACTGAGCCAAACTGGCTAGGGCAAGAATTAGCAAATTCTTAACACCTTTACACAGGAGAATGAAGCCCATTATGCCAATAAGTCCCATTAATGGTGACACTAAGTTTGAGCCAGATTTCTCCATTATAAAGTACTTACTCTTTTTGTAATAAAAGAGTAAATCATGATAGAGTGTGAATAACCTCTTTTCCAGTTATGATTTATCCAGTAATCTTAACATTGATTGGTGATCTTTGCTTGAATTAGTTATTATATTGGTGATTGCAAAATGGGTGGTTTTTTAGTTCTGTCATTCCTTGTATATTTATAAGTTAGCCTTTTCCTTTAAAGAACAACCCATACTTTTTCTTGAGCTATATTTTTCATACAGTAAAATGTGTATATAT